TACATTTTGTAATCTTCCAAAGTGTGATACCTCTCGAAGCAATTGCCAATATGTAATCTTGGCTTCTCTAGACAGGTATCACAAAAATAATGGGTCTGCCGTCTTTCGCCTGGAATTTTTCTATTCGAACACACTACACAATCTTTCTTGGTTCCAGAACGTATAATATGTAGGTGGTTGTTGAGCCTGGCCTCCGTATTTGGTGTGTAACTGTATTCTCGAGATGTGCTGTTTTGTCGGAAATTTCCAATCAATTGGTCCACCAACAATTTTACAAACTTCACTTCAATATCACTTTCAATTCTCGGTATGTGTCGTCGTACAGCAGGAAATATATCACTATCATTAGAATCGGATTCATGGCTTAGTTCAATATTGTCTGCTTCATCACGGCCAAGAGCGTCTATATTATTTATGTAATGTTCACTATGAACTTCAAATTCTAATTCGTCGCTACTACTTTCAATATCACTATAATTTTCACAAATTTTTCTTTTATTTGCCATATCGGGGATATAAATATGTATTCAAAATATAAAAACAACAGATAAACTAGAATCTGATATACACTCTACTGCTGAATAACACGACTTAACTCACTTGCATCCAAGTGCGGAATGCGGAATGTTGCTCAAACCGCGATTGTGTGCTGTTATCGAGAGCATAACAATCCGCGAGCCGCGACCGTCATTTGTCACCAACATCCTATAACTAAACATCCTATAACTAATTTTTACGATTTGTTTTTGTTCTTATGTTAAAAACTGAAAATTATTTGCATTGTCTCCGTAGCGGAGCCCTCGAGTTTGAAGACAAATTTTAACTGGCTCCGCTCCGGAGCCCTCGAGTGCAAAGGGTTAAATTCAGTCGGTCGACGATCGAATGGACGATTAATCAAAAATGAAAAATGATTGCTTCATTTTATTAAGATTTGCAAGAGGTACGAATGCCGAAGAAGTGATCGATGCCGTATAAGTTTGCTTCATAATTTTGGTTGAATCGAATGAAATATTTTCATTTTATGAAAATTTTTCAGCTTCCAAGCGCGGTCGTGGAAGTGTTAAGATCGGTAAGGGAAGATCCTTGGGAAGGGCGAAGGCCTTTCCCGAAGATTTTCCGACCGGGATGATCCGGAACNTCCGTGCCGAGCTTTTTTTACTCGAATCTTCACACTTTGATATTTTACTAAAACTTGATGTATTACGTGCAATTATTAATTCTCGTGCACATAACAACGTAACAAAAACTTATCAACGCCCATTCTTGCGGTGGAAATTGATTCTTCGGTTCTAAATTTCTTGTAAACAATTTGTTCAGTTCACTAAGTAAACATGCAAGCGTGTACCACCGATGGTACACGTGGCACAGAACGTGTTAATGGCGGTGTGTACGCCTCGCGTCGGGCAAACCCGAAAAAGGCATCTGCACACCCCGCTTTTGGAGGACGTGGCTTTTATTATGTCTGGTCCGCCACAACGCTTTCTCGGATATTAGAATTTCGTTTCGAATCGTCGTGGGATTTTTAACCCCATGCCGTGCTTTAACCCTTTCGCTACGGCAGCTCCATCCGCCGAAGCACCGTCACCGAACGGAAACTCGCTCCGGAAATATGCACGGCGCGCGTGGTTTCCGTATATATGTTGTTCCAAGTCTTGAATAATAACTGTGCCGAATAAAACAATCGTTGCTCCGATGTGACAAGTATATTTACATTTTTAATTTAAAAAGGCCAACGTCGCAATCTTTGCACTCGTACCGCGAATCCGTTCTTTTATCATTTTTGCTACAAATTACACATCTGCGTGTTCTGTATGCGCTTCATTTCGATGTTGCATATATGCGGAGCCCGTACCCACAGATCGTCGAGTGGATGCCGCATATACAGGGTGTCCCGAAAATGTTTCGTAATCCGGAAATGGGAGGTTCCTGAGGTCATTTGAAGCAACTTTTTCCTTAGCGAAAATGCAATCCGCGGCTTTGTTTACGAGTTATTAACGAAAAACACTGACCAATAAGAGGCAAGCTCGACTGGCGCGCGGCGGCCCAGCCAACGGCGGAGCCCGGTTCCGCTCATTGGCTCGGCCGTCTCGCGCCAAATGATCTCGCTTCTGATTGGTCACTGTTTTTCGTTAATAACTCGTAAACGAAGCCGCGGATTGCATTTTCGCTAAGGAAAAATTTGCTTCAAATGACCTCAGGAATCCCCTACTTTCGGATTGCGAGACATTTCTGGGACATCCTGTATGCGGCGCTCGGCGCGAAAGGGTTAACGAGTCTGACTCGCGATGAAAATTTTGGCCCAAACACGAATACGACGAGCCAGGCTCGCGAATAGATCGTCGGGCCAAACGTAAACATCACGAGCCGAGGTCGTGATCGAATGTTAGTTTCTATCGGTACGCCACCAGAGTTGGTCACGAGTCTCGTATCAGAGGCCTTTACATTTCGGTTCGTATTGCGACCTTTCTCGCGCATCAGTCCGATCGGTTTACCACGCGTTGACGCGTAACACTTGGGCCCGAGCTTCGTCGAGCTAAATGGCACGGCAAGGGGTTAACACGTTCCGTGCCGAGCTTTTTTTACTCGAATCTTCACACTTTGATATTTTACTAAAACTTGATGTATTACGTGCAATTATATTAACCCTTTCGATACTACGGGCCACTATAGCGGCCTTCCATAAGATGCCACCGAGGTACTACGGGCCACTAAAGTGGCCCTCCATAAAATGCGACTGAGGTACTACGGGTCACTATAGTGGCCCTCCATAAGTTCGATCGTTTGTAGCGAATAAAGTCAGTGCTTACTGCAGAAAGATAATTCACCTTATTTTTCTCTCAACAAGGGATAAATAGATATGCCTTTATTTTTTTTCTTTCAATTTTGTTTAACTTTATTTGGATTAACCCTTTTGCTACGGGCGGTTTCTCCGCTGCAGTACCCCCGCAACGATCGACGTCTTGTAGCGTGCAGTGATGTCGCAGCGCGCCGTTCAGCAGAAGTACCGCGGCGGAAAATCCGCCCGTAGCGAAAGGGTTAATTCTCGTACACATAACAACGTAACAAAAACTTATCAACGCCCATTCTTGCGGTGGAAATTGATTCTTCGGTTCTAAATTTCTTGTAAACAATTTGTTCAGTTCACTAAGTAAACATGCAAGCGTGTACCATCGATGGTACACGTGGCACGGAACGTGTTAAACGGGTCCCACGGACCCAGCCGAGCGTGTGTGCAGCTCTCGCGAATCGACGCGACTCGACCGGGAATTACCGTTGCAGGTGCACAGTATACTGCAACGCGGTCCCAGGGTGTTCATCTTCATGCGGTACGCGGACAATGGCGACCTTCTCGACTTCGTTCTGCGAAACGGCGTGGTGCCGGAGCAACAGTCGAAGCTCTGGTTCAGGCAGATGGCATCCGGCCTGCATTATCTGCACGGGAAGAACATCGCGCACCGTGACCTGAAATGCGAGAACATCCTTCTGTCGAGGAAGTTCAACGTGAAGCTGGCGGACTTCGGGTTCGCGAGATTTTGCGTGGATCAGGCTGGAAGGCGGGTCCTCAGCAACACGTACTGCGGCTCGGCCGCGTACGCGGCACCGGAAGTGGTCTCCGGCACGCCGTACAACCCGAAGCTGGCAGACGTCTGGTCCCTCGGGATCATCCTGTTCGTGATGCTGAACGCGTCGATGCCGTTCGACGACAAGAACCTGAAGAAGCTGCTGAAAAACCAGATGTCCAGGAACTGGATGTTCCGCTCGCGAATCAGGGAGACCGTCTCTGCCCTGGCCAAGAACATCGTCAAGCATATCCTCGAGCCGGATATCACTTTGAGGCTGACTTTGGAGAGGGTGCTGGCGCACGAGTGGGTCCGCGCCAAAAAGGAGAAGACCGGATCGCTTTCGGGGAGGCTCGTGCACTCGGCACCGCCTATTCATTCGCAGGTGGGCTATCATTGTCCTTCGTCTCAACGATTCAAGGTCCATTTATACCAACCGATGAACCCGGGCCGAGCGGGTTTATTATTATTTTGTATTATTGATTTTAATTATTATCATTAATTTTATTATTATTATTATTATTATCATTATCATTATCATTATTATTATCATTATCACTATCGCTATCGCTATCACTATCACTATCACTATCGCTATCACTATCACTATCACTATCACTATCACTATCACTATCACTATCACTATCACTATCACTATCACTATCACTATCACTATCACTATCACTATCACTATCACTATCACTATCACTATCACTATCACTATCACTATCACTATCACTATCACTATCACTATCACTATCACTATCACTATCACTATCACTATCACTATCACTATCACTATCACTATCACTATCACTATCACTATCACTATCACTATTATTATTATTATTATTATTATTATTATTATTATTATTATAATATAATAGTTAATAATAATTTCTGTCGATCCGCTCGGCTCGTGCTCAGCTCGTCGGTGAATATAAGTTTATTCTTTATTTACTCTTATGATTTATTTACTCTTTATTTGATCTTTATTTGCCTACAATCATTTAACGCGCTAGCGGGAGAAAACCGGTGAAATTTGAGAAATTCAAAGAAATTTCTCTCGAATATATAACAAAATTTATAAAAGTAAATTTTTAGGAAGGTATTAATACTTTTCCCCGACGATAGTGTGTTAATAGTCATTCAAAAAGTCGAAGATTAATGCGTGGCTAGACTGCAGAGTCGACGACGCCTCGACTATTTTATTTTCAATGTACCTGAATTTTTTAGAAGATTTATTATGTACTATAGGCAAGGTTATTTTATCTGTGGAGCACATTGCCTAGGGGTAGCATAAAATTTTGTGACCAGTAAAAAAGTATTACGAGGCCAGCGAAATGATTACAGGATTTAAGGGAGCGACGCCGCCGCACACTATGACAATCCACGCATAGAAGAAAAGCCATATACGTGTATTAGTTTTAGAGGTTTACATCCGCTAAAACTGACGCTTTAATATCGAAGTGTGCAGAGTTCACAAGTGGAAAATTTAGATTGCAAAAAGATTAAACGACTGGACTTCGGTTGTAGAAATATCCGTTTTGCAGTTATTGCGGAGATATTTGCAATATTCGGCCAGAGAGTGGTGTCAATGTCACGAGCAAGACGACACAAGATGGCCGCCGCTAACAGTTTTTCGTAAATATCGAGAGATGTAGAGCTCGAATCGAAAATTCACGAAATTAGTTAGACCCGAAGAGAAGAATAGTTAGGGAAGCTCGGCGGCTCTCGGCGAAAGACGAAGGGAGAGGTCGGGGTGGCGAGTTAAAAATAGAGGTCCCTAGAGCCTGCGAACATCATAATGCTTCTCTCACTAGCACTACATAATAAGTACTCGGGCTTTGAATTAATAAACACGAGATACGCATCTTGATTTCATCACAGCACTCGAGGACGCTTGTTTAACCTATGCTTAAATCCTCAAGCGATATTGGGTGGGTCTCTTTTACACTCTGTGATACGTTTAGACGGATAGCAATCTTTTTTAATTCTCTGTACACACAAAATTAGAATGTGCCCCGTATCAATCTTATTTCAACACTAAACCTACCGCGGTCAAAGTGACCGCTTTCTTATTTTGCAATTCTGCAAAGTTCCGAGACTCTTTCGTGAAAAACGCTTGAATAAGTTATGTTATTGGAGCAAGTTTTATAATAAAAACTTTACAAATACTAAATAAATTCGGTCTTCTCACTTTTGTGAAGCAGTACATTAATGCTTATTATTATTATTATATATTATTATTATTATTATTATTATTATTATTATTATTATCAATGCTTGGTAGGCTTAGTGTTAATAGATTATTTTTAAACTTTTATTTTTAATGGTATTATCTTGTAACTTCTGTTTCTACTGGAATAATTTCCCCTTTGCATTCGAGTGATACCGAAATATAATTTTCACGTTATCAAAATTTATATTTAGAAAACTATTGAAACTATTAACTGATGAACCAGTCCAAAAACTCAATGTCGCATTCATGAAATGCACTAAGTCGTATAAAAGCTCATGTTGAGGCTCCTGTTTTTGGGTCTACAATTTTAGCTTCAATTTTATTAAAAATGGATACTTATGGGATATCACGGATATTAGTAGTATTTGATAAATCTTTATTAAACTCAAATAGATGAGTTATTATTTATAGTTTATTAGGTTCAATTATTTTAGGTTTAAATTGTTTACGGCAATTAGATATGAAGCTTTTAGTGGCTTATTCTTCAGTAGTTCATATAGGATTATTAGTTAAAAGTATATTAACATTTTGTGAAGTTAGTGCTAAGGGGTGTTATATTATGATAGTAGGCCATGTTTTATGTTCTTCTCTCTCTCTCTCTCTCTCTCTCTCTCTCTCTCTCTCTGGGTTATTTTATTTAGTTAATGTAAATTATAAGGAAGCTAATAGACGATTGATGTTAATTAATAAGGGGATATTGAATTTTATACCAAAAATTAGTATAACTATTAACTATTACTAAAATTATTAACTTATTAATCAAAATAGAAACACTACAGGTCGGACAAATTATTTTGGATTCAGAGTTAAAGTAGTTTCCAGTGTAAAGGGTTGAAATATTGAAGTCACGTTTAGTCTGTTCATATTTAACGTGATCCGCGAACATTTATAATTTAAAAAATTCTTTGCTTCACGGCAAACTGGTTCTAAGCAATTTGAACAAGTTTCGTTGATCGTCAGATGTGTGGGACCGGTGGCAATTTGGTCGGAGCCGGGGCCGCAGGTGGCTGCAACGTGCCTGTAGTTCTGAGAGGTCTGTCGTCCTTCAAGAATTCCGAGATTCACGGCCAGGGCAGCGCTTTCAAATCCACTGACAGTCCGAGGAAAAACGCGCAGCTGTCCGCCGTCGAGTGAAGAGAAAACCAGTCAGGACCACAAGGATGAACCAGCATCGTTATTCGTGCGTCGAACGTCGACGAGGCGCCCGGAAACCGGGCGCCGCCAAAGACGACGGTGTTTAGAATTCATTTTATTTTTACTTCCCTGATTATTGTCGATCCTATACATGGTTTTTAATAGTGCATACTTTAATAAAGAATTTATCGATTTTATAACCCTTTTCTCCGCATCGCCAGTCGAAACTCGACCATTATCATTTTATATTAAAGATACTGAGGTAAACGATCAGAACTTTTAGTCAAGTAAACATTTAGCAGTAACAATAAACGTCTCCAGAAGATAGGTGTCTTTTTTTGGTTTTTACATCAGGGTAAAATCTTCGACACAAGATCCCCTTAAAATCTTACGACGACATTGCCGCACCACGGAACTGTTTAACACATTACTTCAGGGTAACAAATTACGTCCAAATGCGCTTTCCGACGCCATTCGTCATCCTCCAAGCCATTGTCAGGCGAGACGACCCAACCGAGAAGATAGGTGTAAAGTGAACGGAGACGCGTTAATAATAATTAAGTTTATTGTACATCTAGCGCCTATCAATATACAAAACTATAGTTTTTCTGATTACACGTTCGGCAACGTGACCGCTATAAGTAGATAGATAGTATGCAACGGTACAGGTAAATATGTTTAATAATATATATAATATATATATATATAGTTTACATTAAAACAACAAATAATTTACACGATTCAATATGACGGCCGCGGGCCGTAGGTCGATCTCGCCCGGCATAGCACCCCATGCCGTGAAAATAAAAATACATGTATTTGCCCGAGGGAGATCGACCCGGGCACAGCCGGCCTCAAAATCATCGAGAGGACTCTCCGGAAGGAATCGGGGGGTCGGGGAAGGGTATTAGGCATGCTTATCTAAAAATATTAATTCGTTCATGACCTTAATCAACGGCGTCGCGTGTAGAAAAGGGCGCGGTTTCGGGTATTGCATGGTCGTTGTGCGTGTTTCGCTCGGTTACACGAGCTACGTGTGTTCCATTACAAGATGCTCGGCGGATAAGAACTGCGTGTCATCGTCATGTACAAAAGTAGCGAAGACTATCAACGTGGTATCTCGGAGTCGCGCGGTCGATTAATTGCCAACGGATCCGACGTGGACTCCCGCGAGAGTCCTGTCTCCTGTCAGGATCCCTGACAGTTGCGCACCGGACAACTTGTTCACCTATTTACAAATTCTAGAGTAAAGCGTGTCTAAGCATAGATCTCGTTATTTTTACAAACGTGTCAGCCAACAAGTGTGTCGCCGTTTCAGATCGGAGATTTCTCTCTGCTCTCTCTCTCTTTTTCTCTATTTCCGAAAATAATTTGCGTATCGAGACTTCGTCGAGCGAAGACTTGGAAAAAGATATTCTTTTCTTTACGGTTGTATCCACGGGAATTTTAAATCCATCCGCCGGTTAGTTTGTGGAACATCTCCTCGTTCAGCGTTTGGTTGACTTCCTTGGAGCGCATCGAGAGGAATATGTAGCCCCCGATGAACTCGTGGACCACTTTGCAGTCCGCTGATTGACACTCGAAGATTATGTTTTCCTCCTCGAACTGTACCATCATGTGCTTCACCTCCCAGTTCACATTCCAGGCCTGTAAAACGCGCAGAGAGGATATTATTGATTTGACAATGAATAATGTACCGTTAATGCTGCACTAACATCCGGAAAAGTGAAAAGCATAAATGGAAAATCGTCGCGATCACTGACCTTCATGGTATTGTATCGCCACGTCTTCAAATGATCGCCACTGTGAAGCTCCATTCTCATCAGCCTGTTATTGGCGATGCCCAACAGCTCGTCTTTGCTTTTCCCGGTGAACCTGACCACGAACAGTGCGATGCCATACTCGGGCAAAGACTGCCACGCCTTTATATAATTCAGCTTGGCTTCGATCAAAGAGAGGTCCTTCACGTTTGCGTGCGCTTCCAGGATCCTCTGAACCAACTGAAGCACGTACAACAAATTTGCAATTAGTAAAAATGATCTTTCCTAGTCAAAGTGATCGTATATGTTCAACGAATACACACTTTTCCTTTGAACTTCTTGACGAATCTGGGCGCAACGTAGTCGTCCGGAACGATATCCAGGGCAGTCGGATTGATCGCAGGTGCGGGGGCGGGCCTCTGCAATTGCAGGAAAGCGATGATGCTATTCACTTCGCTCTCGTAGGACGAATCAGCGAGGGTGCGGCCCTTGGCCGCCAGTCTACACGCTGCCATCCACTTCGCGTACTGCTGCTCCTGTAAAAGATCAAACCTTCGTCATACCCGCTTCCTTTTTGCAATTTTACATCGTTCTTTGACATTTTCTTCGTCGTTTAATACCGCTCGCTCGTAGACCACTTCCTTCCCAATAAATATGCATTGGTCGATGCAATTTGAACTTAGTGTCGGTTAACTTTGCAGTACGAAAGGATACTTTTTTTTTCGCAGAGTGCGATTGAGTGCGACCTGAGTACGATTAGGCCCGAGTGACATGAAGCCTGAGGTCTGAGTCTCAAACTTTCTTCGATTTACATACAGTTTCCTTAACACCAAAATGACCGGTTTTCAATTTTTTAATTTCAGGATACTAGGAAATTCGGAGACCTCTTCGTGGGAAATGATCGAACAAATTACATTATTAATGCAAGTTTTATAGGTAAAACTTTACAAAATCTGAATTCTATCTGTTCACTGTTATGAATCGAAGCACGCCAGTCACCATTGCTGCTCGGTAGGTATAACAGACCTAAAACCAGACAAGGGATGAATAGTCACCCTCGAGAACCTAAGAGGCCTAGCAATAATACAAGTCGACATCATCCACGAGTTTCCTTTATTATTAAACGAAAAAGCAATTGTTCTAATCAAGCCCGAATCTCGTTAAAGAAATCCTGAACAAACCCTACGCCGTTGATAATACTTAATACCCAAAGTACAATAGAGATTGTCTTATCCGAAGGTTTATTTTTGTAACATCCTGATACCAAAACATTCTATTATCTACATTCTATTATCTATCTTCTATTCTACTATCTACAAACATTCTATTATCTATCTTCTATTCTATTATCTACAAACATTCTATATTATCTACCTTCTATTCTATTATCTACAAACATTCTATTATCTATCTTCTATTCTATTATCTACAAACATTCTATTATCTTTCTACTATTCTATTATCTACAAACATTCTCTTATCTATCTTCTATTCTATTATCCACAAACATTTATTATCTATCTTCTATTCTATTATCCACAAACATTCTATTATCTATCTTCTATTCTATTATCTACAAACATTCTATTATCTATCTTCTATTGTATTATCTATCTTCTATTCTATTATCTACAAACATTCTATTATCTTTCTACTATTCTATTATCTACAAACATTCTCTTATCTATCTTCTATTCTATTATCCACAAACATTTATTATCTATCTTCTATTCTATTATCCACAAACATTCTATTATCTATCTTCTATTCTATTATCTACAAACATTCTATATTATCTACCTTCTATTCTATTATCTACAAACATTCTATTATCTACCTTCTATTCTACTATCTATCTTCTATTCTATTATTCATTCAGTTTCTCTACCAGACGATAACGTATCTAAATAATAAACTGATTAGACAACGGAACACATGCTCGGTTACCGGAACATTGTAAAAATAAATGTTCGAGTGAAGGAAGTCTCTGTTGTACCAGCATTTAAAACAGACAAGGGATGAGGAAATCAACAAGGGTCGGTGACAATAAATATTGAACATTGATTAGAAGAAGAATTAGAAGTTCTCCTCATATGGTAAAATGACAAAACAGTTGTTCGAAAATCAGCGAATCGAATGTTTTAGCCAACGCGCGGCTAACTGAAAGGAAAAAGGGGCGAGCGAGAGGGTGCGGACGACGGCGTAGCCCACACACGGCACTCACGTTGTCGCATCTGATCCACATCTCGGTCATGCCCTCGGCGCTGGGCACCTCTAGCCTGATGCCGTATCGTCCTTGGGAGAGATGCACGTCGGGCGTGACCTCGCATCCACGCAGGTTGATCACGTGGGCAGGTGCCTCGCTGCTGTTGGTCTCCTCCCTGGTTTTGTAGAGCCTGAGCTGAAGGTCCCGGCAGGTGACCCAGTAGCGTTTGAACGCCTTCAGCGTGAACCGCTTCGGCTTCGAGAACCGCAGATGATCGCACAGTTCCGGGACCTGGGTGATGTCGCTGGGCCCGTTGCTGATGTTGCTGCCCTCGAGGGTCACCTGGAGGTCCGTCAAGGCTGCGTCAATGTCGTCCTCGACCGGCGACGAGGCGCCGTTGCTGTCGTAGCTCGGCTGCGGCACGCTGGCCTGGAGATTCACTTGCACCTGCGAACAGGGAATACCAATGAGGCCTACGTCACCCGGGCCCGGCTGCCATACGCGCTCCTTTTATCGTTATGTCCTCCTCCGGTCGCCGCGGAGCCGGTAGGCGGATCGGAAAAACGGAGAGAACGTTCTCCCGGCTCTCGGCATAAAGTCGACCAACGGATTTGCATGCGAATAGGATCGCGTGGGGGTCTCTCTCTCTCTCTCTCTCTCTCTCTCTCTCTCTCTCTCTCTCTCAGCCGACGGCTATAACCGGAGGAACGCTGCCGGTTTTCTCGTCACGTTTTTAAATAGGACTTATCCCAGTTACGCTGCTCCGCAATACCCGAGCGGATAAAAACGCTTGCAAGCGAGCCGACTGCATGGTACCACCTCGGTCTGTCGGTGGCAGATCGTTCTGGCTAGATGCTTCTGGATCGCTATTCTTCGGAGTTGCGGATAGTGCGTACTCCGGGATGAGACAATTGGGTTTAACGATTTTTAGAATGGTCCGAGAAAGTTTCGGTTTTTAGGAGAGATTGTTGGAGATAGTCGTGGCTGATTGATATCGGATAGACTGTGGATTTTTATGCAAAATAGAAACGGTCTGCATTAATCTCGAAAGCCATTTTAATCTAAAATAACTCTGCTATATACTATAGTAGTATTTTTATTCTATATGACAAAGTGCATTTTTCACGAGTATGAAATTGAGCCTTGCGACTCCTACAACAGTTACATTTAACAATTTTTTAAAAAATCTAAGCATTGATAATGTAACAGTTATCTTCAGCGATGTCTCAGAATCGCCACGCGAGTGCGAAGGGTTAAATGCGAAACACGAGATTAAAGTAGCAACGTATTTCTTCTAATAGTTTTAATAAATCGAAAGTAACGTTCTTCACCGATACCCTCAACAGTATTTTATCTCTGTATTTTTTACTTGCCCACTTTTACGACGAACGCATAGAATCCGCAGTCTACCGATGAGAATCTTTGCGCGGAATGAAATTTATGCGTTGCTGATTGCGCGCGCGGATTTACTGATTTAAATTTAACCTGCTCATTTGTATTGAAAAGAATGTGTGAGAATCGATTCAACAGAGATCAAAGTCCTGTAGAACTCGTCATCGATGGACAAGTACAGTAATGTCTCTCTAATTGACGCTCAGATTGTCCACAACAATGGACAATTTGGGAAGTTTTGTGGCTCGTTTTCTTATAATTGTTAACAATTCGTAACTATAAAACCAAAGACAAGGCTCGCATAATCGTATCTCCTCTTCCCAAATTGTCCATTTCTGTGGACAATCTGAGCGTCAATTAGAGAGACATTACTGTAAAACTTTTCTTATGATCACTTAACGCATACGATGTTGGTAGACCTGCCTATAATTTAAAAAAAGAAGCAGGTCGCCCGTAGTGATCAAAAGTTTGGCCACCTATGAGCTAGATGATCTATTAGATTGCGCGACCTCTGACACCCGGGAAAGGACAAGGAAAATTACACGAATTCGAAGCGATATTTCAGATGAATTTTGTGATATGTTCTCGTGAGCTTCGAACCTTGCAGTTCGGTTTTATTAATTACCGATTGTCAATAACAATTTTCCAAAATGCGATACCCGTCCTCCATATTGTATCCGTTATATTGTTTCCTAATATTGTAAATTCGGATCCCAGAAGTCCCACAAACATTCCGATACCAATTTTTGTAAATTCTGGAGTTAAAATTTCAACGAAATTTGTGTCCAATACGACAGACGGGTGCTCGAGTAAATGATTCGAAATCCGGATTCCCAATCAGCAAGCACGGAAGGTCTACTACAGTAATGTCTCTCTAATTGACGCTCAGATTGTCCACAAAAATGGACAATTTAGAGAGAAGAGAGACGATTATTCGATCCTTGCGGTCCATTTTTATAGTCACGAATTGTCAACAACTATAAAAACGAGCTGCAAGACGCGAATAATGGTATCTCCTCTTCCCAAATTGTCCATTTTTGTGCACATTCTGAGCGTCATTTTGTCAATCGATCGCCATTTTGTATGCTCTGCCGAGAAAAAACTGAAGTGATTTTGTACACGTTGCTTTTTTGTATTTCCATTTTAAGCTTGAATATTTGAATAAAATGTAGAGGCTTCCTTATTGGACTTTTGAATTTACTTCATTTCGGGATTAATCCGCACTGGCCGGAGTTTAAAGTATAATATTAAAGAAGTTATATTAAAGAAGTTATATTAAAGAAGTTTATTAACCGCAAGGTCCGAATAATCGTATCTCTTCTTCCCAAATTGTCCATTTTTGTGCACAATCTGAGCGTCATTTTGTCAATCGATCGCCATTTTGTATGCTCTGCCGAGAAAAAACTAAAGTGATTTTGTACACGTTGCTTTTTTGTATTTCCATTTTAAGCTTGAATATTTGAATAAAACGAAGAGGCTTCCTTATTGGACTTTTGAATTTACTTCATTTCGGGATTAATCCGCACTGGCCGGAGTTTAAAGTATAATATTAAAGAAGTTTATTAACCGCAAGGTCCGAATAATCGTATCTCCTCTTCCAAAATTGTCCATTTTTGTGCACAGTCTGAGCACAAAAATGGTCTCAGTTAAGGAGACATTACTATGACCCGAATTTGTCCAAGAAAGTGTAAGTTCGCATAAATATTTGATCGATAACTTGAATAGAGTGTTACATTCCTACAAGCTCAATTGTCGACTCTGGATCGGGTACCCGGCGATGTATGCACGTACAAATACTTTCTCCTTTTACCGACTACGTGTGCAATTTATCTTAAAGAGGAATGCGCTTCCTGTTACATAAAAATCCTGTTTTCGCTACTTAAAAGCTACTTATTACACTGATATTTACGAAACCGACTAATCAAACGCTTTCGATCACCGTCATCGTAAGCGACATTTATGAACCTTATAACTTTGTGTGCGCTTCGATCATCGATACGAAATAATGATGAACTAACGTCTCTACGATTTCTGTCCGGTCTCGATCGTCGAGATCGTTTGTCTCGTAATACGCTCGGCTGACGGTGTTACCATCGTAATATTTTGGCAACATTCTTCGTTGGCATCGCGAGTTATTTCCGTCAGCCGGATCTCGAAGTATATATAGATCGATCCGGTCTGCAGGCACCGGATGTTTGGATCGTGAAAACGTTGTCGCGTAAACAGTCGCGTGTAGCTGTCCGGAGATATCCGCGGAAACTGCGGATCTATCGCTAAGTATACGTTTCTCCTCTAGGATCGAAAAAGTACGCGGCGTTCCATAACAGCAATCTATTATACTTAATACCAGGTTTGCGAGACGTGCCAAAATGGCGAGTACCAATTTTCTTGATTTACGCTTATTGGAATTGCGAACACACGTTTACGGGAAATTTATTCAAGAAATTTGTTTCGTTCGACGTACATATATTGGGTTGGCAACTAAGTAATTGCCGATTTGTTCAATGAAATAAAAAATTCTTTTTTACTTGGAACGAAGTTTAATCTGTAATGTATTTTCCATTTTGTTCGATGACCTTTTGCCATCTCTCTGACGACTTGAAAATTCCGCGCTCGTAGAAAGTCTGATCCTTTTCGGCCAAAAACTGAGTTAAGTGAGATTTTACAGCGTCATCGTCGTTAAAAGTTTTACCACGAAGGGAGTTGTCCAGGGATCTAAATAAGTGGTAATCCGATGGCGCGAGATCAGGGCTATATGGTGGGTGTAACATCAATTCCCAACCGATATCCATCAATTTTTGCCGAGTGGACAAAGATGTGTGCGGCCTAGCATTGTCCTGCTGGAAAATGACACCTTTACGATCGACCAATTCTGGTCGCTTTTCCTTGACCGCTGCATTCAATTTTTCCAGTTGTTAACATTCACGGATAATAAAAAATAACATAATAATAATAATAATAATAATTTTATAATATAACATTTACGGATATCATAAAAATGGGAGTGAGAGACATCTATAACTGAAATCGGCAATTACTTAGTTGCCAACCCAATACAACTGACGACGCCTACTGATTTTCGTCATAAATTCATCAAATTCGCGGTCCAGCCAAAACACAAAATCTTGCGTGACTCAAAAGGGGTCATGCCGTATCTTTCTGTGCATTCTTTCAATCCTTCCCTTGTATTAAAAATGGCACCTACTTATTCACGTCATAAATGCATAAAATCTGCAGTTCGGTCAGACCACATAATTTATCATTTCCACCAGTCAGATCAAAGTTTTTTGATTCACAACCATGCATACTGTACTCTCATTTTCTAAATGTCATCAATTAATTCTCGCCATAAATGCATAAAATCTGCAGCTTAGTTAGACCACAAATTTTTTCATTTTCATATATCATCTCAAAGTTGGTCGGTTCAGAAGAAAGCACACTCTGATGTCTTTTATACATTCTTTCGATTATCTTCTAGCTTTGGATGGCACTTACTGATTTTCACCATATATATACAGTGTCCTATAATTATGTTAACAACCAGAAAGGGGCGATTTCTGAGGTCATTTGAAGCAACTTTTTCCTTAGCGAAAATGCAATCCTCGGCTTCGTTTACGAATTATTAACGAAAAACTATGACCAATCAGAGACGAGCCGAGCGAATGAGCAAAACTGGGTTTCGTGCGCTCGTTGGCTGGGCCGCCTCGCGCCAGCCAAGCTCGCGTCTTATTGGTCAGTGTTTTTCGTTTAATAACTAGTAAACAAAGCCGCGGGTCGCATTTTCGCTGAGGAAAAAGTTGTTTCAAATCACCTCAGGAACCCCCCCCCCCCCTTTCTGGATTACGAGACATTTTTGTTAAACCCTGTATATTATGATAAAAACCGCTAAAAATCTGAATAAATGCGTGCTTGTTATTTTTATGGAGCAATCGAAACCAGGAGCAAACAAATATATATATATTCCATCAGAAACCTCTTTTGAAGGAGTCATTTTCTGAATATATCGATTGCATGGATCATCGTTTGTACTATCATCCCTCAAAACCACGTCGAACGTTTTAACCCTTTGCACTCGAATGGCGACTCTGAGGCGCCACTAAAAATTGGTATACTATTTTTCAAAATCATTCTGAGAGCATCAGACTCGTTTATATATTTAAAAAACTATTAAAATTGCATTGTACTTGCTGCAACAGGCTCAATTTCATATGCATAAATCGCAATAAATTATATAAAATAGAAATACTGTAGATCAGAAATCATGTTTTGGATTTCGAGTTCAAACAGCTTCGACTGCAAAGGGTTAAAAAAGGTGTACCACACAGTATGGACATGTACACGATCATTACATAGCTGTGAAATAATGCGAATCTATTACAGTTAATTTCTTACAAGAACCTCTTCTGGAACGGAAGCTGGCGGTGATGAGGAAGGACATAAATCAGGATACGTTCAAAGAGCAGCATACGTGATCAGATTGCGGACCATTGCGTAACGTAAAGATTCTCTACGTGAATCGCATGAAGTAGGAGTTAAATAGAAAGTGTTCTTTAACCTCTTGCACACTACGATTTCTTCCGCAGCTACGTTGATTATTATTTATTATTATTAATTATCATTAGCACTTCTTTGTATTTAACAAATTCTTGCACGAGAAAGAAAAATATTTATTGTACGCCAATCTTCAATTTCGCGATAGATTTCTACTCCACGCTTAAGAAATTCTTAATGTAAATATAATAAATATAAAGACATTCGAAATGTAGTATAACATTTATTATTATACCCGATTATAAATTATATATTATATTTATTTATGCGAATGACGAAGCAGCGATAGTGTCGGAGTTATGAATACAAATATTATGCGCGGGGTAGAAACCTCCCTTAGGGTTAAATATCGACAATGGAAGAGTAGAATTTGATTTCGACACAAAAGCCGCGAGTAACGTTCGCATTTAATGGATTATGTTTGAAATCATCATAACGAGACTAACACGATATTATATAGGGTGTCCCAAAAATGTCTCGCGATCCGAAAGTGACGGCTTCCTCAGATCATTTGAAGCAACTTCTTCCTTTACAAAAATTTTCTCCGAGGCACCGTTAACGAGTTATTAACGAAAAACAGTGACCAATGAGAGGCGAGCTCAGCTGGCGCTAGGCGGCCGAGTCAACAGTGCCAGCGGTCGAGCGGTCGAATCCCAGTTCCGCTGATTGGCTCGGTCGCCTCGCGCCAGCCGAGCTCGCCTCTCATTGGTCACTGTTTTTTGTTAATAACTCGTTAACGGCGCCTCGGAGAAAATTTTTGTAAAGGAAGAAGTTGCTTCAAATGATCTGAGGAACCCGCCATTTCCGGATTGCGAGACATTTTTGGGACACCCTGTATGTAGAACAAGGGGTTAAAAATTCTTTGAATCCTTCTGCTGTTTCGAATGGCACCTATCCACTCTTGTCGTGAATGCTTGATCTGCCTGCAACGTCTATAATCTAATATCTAGACGAAGATGCGATAGCTATTAGGTTATGTAATAAGTCCGTTCGCGTTTTCTTGTAAGAAAATATAGTATCGTGCAGTCGTCGACGCTAACGGACTTATACAATTTCAGCCTGATCTAGCTTGTCTTAAAGTAAACACTTCCAGCTTTCATTTAAGCCGAGTTGCATAGAAATACAAAAATGGGACAATTTGAGAATAGGAGATACGATTATTCGAGTCTTGCGTCTCGTTTTTATAGTTATTGACAATCGGTAACTATAAAAGCGAGCTGCAAGGCTCTAAGCCTACAAGAACATATCTCAAAATTCATCTGAAATATCGCTTCGAATTCGTGTAATTTTCCTTGTCTTTTCCCGGGTGTCAGAGGTCGCACAACTTAATAGATCATCTAGCTCATAGGTGGCCAAAGTTTTGATCACTACAGGCGATCTGCTTCTTTTTTAAAATTATAGGCAGGTCTACCAACATCGTATGCGTTAAGTGATCATAAGAAAAGTAGCAATTTAAAGCCAAAAATAAGTTTAAATTTAAGATAAACATATATAACATCAAACAGGCGGGCGACGAGGAGTTGTTACGCGGTCGATGCTTCGATCTATCCGAACATCTAACCCCTGATCTATCCGATCATCTAACCGTAAAGATCCCCCAAAATTCCCCGTGTGGAAGGCTGCAAAATATTCTCAACTGACCTGCAGAGCAGCGAACATCAGCATCTCCTCTTCGGTGCAGTCGATCTCCTCGGCCAGCAGCTGCCACTTGGCCTGCTCGTACATCATGTTGATCCTGACTGCGTCGGTTTTCGGGTTGAGGTCGTAGAAGGAGTAGAACTTGAACTTGAGCCGCAGGGTGTCGAACTCGCGGATCCCCTGTTCCATGATGGACAAGGAGGAGTCGAGCCACGCGACGTTCATCCTGGCGCGTTCGACGAGGTTCTTCGGCCTGACCAATTTCGCTCGGACCTCGGGCGAGATGGAGGTCGGGCTCTGGGCCAGGGACTCGGACAGGGCCCCGTTCAACGCTTCCAGGCTCATCGTGCTGTTGTTCGCGTTGAACGAGTCCGAGCTACCGAAACCGGACGAGTTGTTGTTCCTCTTCCACGTACCGGTTTGCTGTCGAAGAGAACAGGGCCGCGTGTGAGAGGGAGCACGAGGCGACGAGATACTACTGCAGGTTCACCGAGCAATAAATACGCCTAATGACCACTCCCGGGGCCCGGAAAAACTGGGCCCGCTCGCGAGAAGCAAATTAGTTTCCCGAGAGGAACGACTCTGCGGCGCGGTAATGATAGCCCCGCGCCGATAAATCATAGCACAGGCAATGGGGTCGATCGGGGATTATTTATTACCATAACAGGTCCGGGCCCTGGATTCTCTCTCTCTCTCTCTCTCTCTTCATCGCTGCCATTTCCTATCGATTCGGATCTCGAGCATCTACAATCTACAGCTTCATGCTCGAGAAAGCACGCGAGAGATACGCGATGTTCGTAGCGAATGAAATCTTTGAAAAGCTTTGTGAATATATGTAGTAAATTCTCATAAATTCTCCGTCAGCTTGTGAACAAAAATCGACAATTTGGGAAGAGGAGATGCGATTATTGTATTAATCAGTCCACACGAACAGCCGTAAACAGCAATTTCTTCCTAATTCGCGCTCAGATTGAGCACGAAAATTGACAATTAATCTTGCGTCTCATTATTATAGTTGTCGACAATCGGTAACTATAAAAACGAGGCTCAAATAATCGTATCTCCTTTTCCCAAATTGTCCATTTCTGTGCGCGAACTGAGCGCGAATCAGGGAGAAATTACAAGTGTTTTTTCTTATTTATTATTTTTTTCTTCTATTCTATTTATTTCGAACCCTTGCCTATTTAGCGAAAGCAAAAACTCGTTCGTCCCGGTAACACATAGTGAATAGATACGAACAATAGATTCTATCTAGCTGCATGGGACGTTATTTACGACCCGATCTAATATTTTCAATTCAGAGATTGCCTTCCGAAAGCCTCGCTAATTGTTCATCGCTTACCGAGATCGGTGAGCTGATCGGAGTGCTATGATTCCTGTTGTTGGGCGTGACCGGTGCGCACATGAAGGGGCTGCTCTGGTCCAAACTTCCCGTCGATCCCCTGGGACTCTGGCTCACCGGGATAAAAGTGTTCGTGTCTGCTGGCACGTTCCAATGGCCGTTCTTCTGGTTCTCGATCTTCTTCTTCGCCGGCAGGTCCTTCAGATTGTATTTGAGGTGGTTCGGCTCGAGCGGTTTGCAGAACGACAGCTCCTCTGGATGTCTGATACCTGAAGAATTAGGGGATGTGTTCGTGTGTTAGAGGAGTATTCGATTGTACGGATTGTTTGTTCGATTCTTTTGTGCAACAGACTACGAGGCGGTCTTTTTGTAGTTATTTTATCGCATATAAAAGTGATGTTGCACTGCTAGATTTATATATACATGTCGATTCTCTATAGAGCATTTTTAATTGGGAGAAAATTATTTGTCGATGTAGCAAGGCTGTTTTTAATGGCACCTCATTTTAAAAAAAGACATTTTAAAAAAGGTGAAACGGGACTATCATTCAATAATTCTTCTCTTGT